TAGGCTGTGCCTCGGAATGGGTGAGTCCATATTGAATTACACTCCAAAAATAGACATTTGAGTAACTGGGTGGTGCAATGCATCAGACCATTTTTCCCCAAATCCAGCTCAGAATGACAACGTGGAAAGAAAAAGAGTGAAGGAGAGACAAAGAAAGAAAGCAAGACAACGAGAAAGAGCAAAGTCAGAAAGAGAGAGACAGAGAGAAAAAGAAAATCTTCCATTTCTAAAGTTCCTTTGCCACCTCATTGTGTCCCCAATGCATTACAGCCAATGAGGTGCTGTTTTGGGGAAGTGCTTTTGTAGGAACATAGCAGCCATTTTGAACACAGCAAGATCCCATAAAGAACAACCTGACAGTGACCAGTCTGGTGTTGAATCAGGCTACAGTCACACTGCTGCATGTGGGATCTTGCTGGTCACCACATTTCCTATACTAAACAATGTTTAACTTTCTTAAAAGAGTTCTGCACTGGATGCAAGTTGTTTTTTGTCTCCCAAGGCTACGATAGGCACTACAAGAATGCCCACTCTCACATCCACCCAGAGTTCAGATTATTGCCCGTTCCATGAATACAAACAAGGCCACCCTGCTGGAAATACACCTAGGAGTAGGGCCTTAAACCTGTTCCACCATTCAATAAAGGTCATGACTGTCAGACTGTAATCTCAAATCCACATGGTAACTTGTCACACCTCGCTCAACAAGAATCTATCTACCTCAGCCTTATAAATATTCTTAGACTCTGCTTCAGGAAGAGATTTCCAAAATCTCCTGACCCTCCGGGGGAGTTTTTTCTCCCTCATCTCTGTCTTAAAGGAGTAACTCCTCATCCTGAAACTGTACCCCTAATTCTGGATTCTCCTATCTGAGGAAACTTCCTCCCCACATACCCCGTCAAAACACCTTAAGATCTTATAGGTTTTAATCAAGTTGCCTCTTACGCTTCTAAACTCCACTGGATACACCGGTCAAAAGTTTCCTCAAATGATGAGCCACCCATTCCAGGTATTAGTCTGCCTCCAAAGTATTTACACTTTTCCTTAAAGCAGGAAGCAAACGTAGTACTCTAGGTGTGGACTCACCAATACCCTGTAAACTGAAGTATAACTTCTTGCATTCAAATCCCCCCCCAGAATAAACCATTATGTTCAATTAGTTTTCCTAATTACTTGTTGTACCTGCACAATAGCGCCTTGTGATTCATAAACTCTGCATTTCCAAACTCTGCAATTGCTCACTCTTTAGGTAATTTTTATCAGCTTTCTGTTAAAATGAATATTTCACATTTTTCCACATTATTCTTCATTTGCTACTTTTGCCTATTCGTTAACTTATCTATATCCCTCTGTGACCTCCGTGTCAACTTCATAACTTACTTTCCTAACTTGACAACCCATACCTTCCGTCCCTTCAGAGTACTTTCCCTATAACTACTGCAGCAAGCAAATAAGTGCCGACTGTCCCTGAGGAGCACTGCAGCCCAAAGTGACCAAAACCACCCTACAGACACTCCAATCCCAGCATTTGGGAGGAGGGGAGTCAGGGGATGAAG